GGACTTTATGTTTGAGTGCTCAAACACTACAGTCGTAATCCATTTTATCTTGGGAGACTGACGATACAACGCTCTCAGCACACCCTCAGGAGTAGCAAATCGGTTTTAAGTGTGTGTTACACACGACTTGGATTTCTGCTTCTCTTTTCTTGTTTGTTGGGATTATATTAAAAATTATAAAACCATTTTTTTCGTTATATATATATATATATATATATATATATATATATATATATATATATATATATATATATATATATATATATATATATATATATATATATATATATATATATATATATATATAGTGAACGGTTCCCGTGCGGTTGTGCGGTTGATTAATGTGCGTGAGATTTGTACTCAATGTGCGTGAGTGTTGTGCTTAATGTGCCTGAGATTTGTACTTAATCTGCGTGAATGTGTAAAATGCAGCAGAAAATATTGATGTCAGCTTCTTCCCCATCCCCAGTAGCCATTGCCCCCTCCCTGATGATGATGCGGAGGCGAGCTATGGTGGTTAAGAATTATGGGAATAATACAACAGAAATCCACACTTAGCTGGTGTGCAAATTTTGTTGTGCGTGCGTCATCTATATAAACATTCAATTGCACTGAAGGTAGCTGATAATCCAGAATCAATGGCCAAATTGAAGGAAGAAGTAACAAGAAGCTTGGGCGTTAATGTGCGTGAGTTTTCTGTTCTGCTTCCTTCTGAGCTCGTAATTCTGAACTACTCACGCACATTAAGCACAAATCTCACGCATATTAAGCACAATACTCAGGCACATTAAGTACAAAACTCACGCATATTAACATTACGCACATTAAGTACAAATTGCAGGCACATTAAGCACAACACTCACGCACATTAATCCACCGCACAACCGCACGGGAAGTCGCAAATGCACCTGATCACAAGTATAAACCTCACGCACATTTTATATATATATATATATATATATATATATATATATATATATATATATATATATATATATATATATATATATATATATATATATATATATATATATATATAGGCTTTAGCTTGACAGAAGAAATCAATCGCGGTATGGGCCAGCTGCAAGCATCACAATTAGTTAGACATGCCAAAGAAGTGCTGAAAAACAATAGAAAGGTGAAACGAAGTTTACCCAGAGTATATCTTCGGTCACACGTTCACCAATCTGGTCTGCCGACTAATCCAGTGTGTTCTCCCTGGTCGAGACCATCTTGCTGATCCTTTCCAGCAGAGCGGTCATTTGCCCCCCCCCCCCCCCCTACTCAGAAGGGTGTCGATCACCGGGGTCGGGCACGGGAGACTCGCCCACCTATGACGCTTAAGAAGAGTGACCTCTTCGACATCCGACTCTATTGCATTCTCATTTCCCCTCTTGTTGTGGGCTTGGGTGATCTGGAAATCTAAGCCCGAGCTCACGGGCTGCACGATGTGGAGGGGTAGGGTGGTCAAGATGGCGGGCTCAACGAGAGCGGCTGCGGCGGAACTTGTCCTTTTACCCCTAGGGCAAATTTAGCCCGAGGCTGTCAGGGTGCGGCCGAGGTGGTGGCGAATCCTTTATCAAGGCACATACCTGCAAACAAGAAAAGAGGAGTTTGTAGAGGTCGGTAAACACGATCGGATGATGAACTTAAAACCTTTTGAAAAGATTTTTTTTTCGCTTTTGCGACTGTCAAAATTATAAACTTTTGGTGCTCGGGCCAGGTGTTGGTGGCGGGACCGCGACGGTGGTGCCTATAGGCTCGGGGTTGTACTTCTCCAATTCTCCTCAAGGTCATACCTCGGGGCCTAGAGCTAAGCCTACATGTACTCGTTGCATGACAGGAATATATGGTAGTTGTAGAATTCTGAAGAAATATTTGCAGCAGCGTTAGCCAATGCTCGGGTCTTGGGTGGGAAGGTATGCTTAGTGAAGTGCTTTGACCATACCTGAGGCACGGGCAGCTTCCAGATGTATTTGATCAAAAGAATTCGATCTTTCCCGCCCTTGTTGTTGTCCAGGAGATGGGTGATGCTGCAATGGTACCCCCGAGATTGTACCATCTGAAACTCTCCCCCATGTTTGGGCGGGAGAGACCAAATAGAAAAAAGGAAGTTGAAGACCTCGATAGTACACAGGAGACCGTGTTGAGCATAGATCTGCGGGAAGCAAGCCAAGATTCAGTAGTCGTTCGAGCTTATTTGGCCGGGAAGGACCTCATAGTATCGAAGGAAGGGAGAGAATGAGAACATCAATGGGGCCTTGATGGAGTCGAGATGAATCCCAAGCCAGTACCCTTTGGTACGCTTGATGATATTACTTGAAGAGCGACAGGTATCAAAACGAACCCGGCCGGTCAGAAGACAAAAAAACCTCTTTGACCTCGGCCCAAGTAAGTAAGTAAGAATGTTATCACAAAGACTCATTATTAAGAAAGATTTGCTTACCACTCGGGATGGTGGGAGCACGAGTTGAGGAAGAACCGACCGGAATGGTCGTAGAGGGATAACCGACCAGAAGGGTCGAGATAATGCGGGAAAGAGAAAAATGAGAGAGAGAAGGATAGAGAGCAGAAAGTACAGCTCGAGGTGATTTCTCACGCCTGGAGGGCCCGACTTCCTCGTCTGTAGGGGGCGGCGCGACGGGTCGTTGGCCAACTTCAGCGTCGGCAGCTAGGGATGACTCTGCTAAATCCCCTGGGAATGCGTCGATTTCCCGAATGGTTGAGTCGTCGTCGGTGGAGACCGTGAAAGAACCGACCTCGACCTCATCGTCATAGTCTCGGCCCGAGACGTTTTGGCTGTCGGAATCCGACATGTCTTGTCTTTAAATATTAAGGGAAGATGTTTTAGTGTGAAAGTCCAAATAAGGATACATGCAAAGTGCGTTTGAATCAAAAAAACTTTAATTAAAATTTTAAGGGAGAAGCTCGGAAAAGTGCTTAATGGTTGACCTCGCGGTATATCGGGAAGTTTGGGAGAACGAGAAATTTGCAAGTACAGCAGCTCAGGAAGCTCCAATCTCATATTAGCGGAAGAAAGCGTGAAATGGAACCCATCAGAACGCCCTATTTACAAAGGGTGGTTGGGGGGAAAAACGTTTCAAATTTCAAAACTGGGCACGAATCCCAAACGCACGGTAATGGCCGACACGTGTCTTTCGGACCCTGTGAACGGGGTGGTCAGCGCTCTGACCGTGCACCTACGTCGCACCCGATCCGTGCAAAGTTGCGGCCTCCGTTCGAGTTGTCGCACAAACCCTTCCTCTCGGACCATCGTCAGGCTCCGGGCTAAGGGGCTACTTGATGGGGATTATTCCCCGTTAATCGTGCGCATATGATCGTCGATGCTGGACCCTCTCTGCAAGTTGGGCCTGATCCGACCCGCACCGACCCTGTACCCTATGCTCCCGACCTCCTCGGTCACCGAGCTCTGTTAAGGACCCCTTGTACCTGTCACATTTACATTATTTGCACCCCGACCTAGTCAAGTCAGGACCGACCTGTCGATTTTGTCCCAGTAGCAGTACCCAAGGCGTTCAGGAATATCAAAGCACGTGGCCAAGCCCCCTTGGGCCCCAACCTGAACTCGTGCATGTGTTCCACGTGCCATGCATACCGCGGGACCCGAATCTATTCCCCCTTCTTCCCTACAAATACCGTATTTATTGCTGAGTGGGGAACTTTTTTGGACTATTTCTACACGTACGCTAGCTTTTAGCTCGTTAACCTCTAACCCACTGCCAAGTATTCCGAGTTCCAGCACTTAAACCAACAAGCGGACTAGGCAAAGGATCCAAACTCTGAACCAACCCTAGAAACCGTATTCGTAGTTGACACCGCTCGTATATATACTACATGAGTTTCAAAACTTATCATCATTTCTTCCATTCTTTTGAACAATTTTTTTTTTATAACTCAAGTTTCCTGACTTTATCATATTATATCATATATAGATCATATAAACATGTCCAAACTCAGTATTAAACAGTACACTTTTGCGCAAAAAGAATTCAACCCAAACCTTCAATATTCGTAGTAGAAATCGAACTCCACCTTGTTATTGAAAAACAAGTAGTGTGATTTCTTATCCACTAGACTAATGCCGTGAGGTAACATTTTAATTCTTCTTGATCTCTTCAATACACTCTCTTTCATTCTGATTTAGTTAATTAAGCTTGAATCAAATTATTTATTATTTTTTTTGTAATATTTAATTTAAGAGGTTTGTATGTTAGGTTGGAGCATGCATGCAACTTTTGATGATCCTCCAATTCCATTTTTAAAAATTGGGAGGAGTATAAGTTTGGCACCTCTATACCGAAGAGGTACTTAGGTAGTTAACTGTCCCCATTTGTCAAGTTTGGGAGGAAGACAAGTTTGGCAGCTCTAGGCCGAAGGGGTAGTTATGTGTTCTTTCATTCTTAGGTGATTTTTGTTTAGGACGTGTTGTCGCATATGGCTCATATGTAAGAGAGATTGGATAAATGTTGGAGTCAATCATTATGGTCCACACAAGTTCTGTGGACCATATTTTATCTACTATAAAGTAATGTAAATTCAGTACAAAGATAATGTATATTGTATACAAGGGATATACATTATTTTTGTTCTGAGTGTACATTATATTGTATAATGTACATTCAGTACAAAAATAATGTGCATTTAGTATATTAAAAATGTACTTTTTGTTATGGTCCACATAATATTGTGTGGACCATGGTCCATACAATAATTTACCTGTTGGCAAGTGTAGCAAAGTGAACAGCACAAGAATAATGTTTTAAATGTCTCGTAGTACGTTTATGGTTATTATATATAAATACTATGACAGTAACATTGAAAAATATAGTTTATCATCATAATTAATAAATGAACTATTTTGCTCATCTTCCTTGAAATACTGCCTACTAAACCGGTTCAATATTGCCTACTAAACTAGTGAACCCTAAGTAAAATGAAACAGCAGCAGTTAGTAACCTTTAATTTAGAGCATCAGTATATAAGATAACGGGACTGCAAGCTTTCTCATAAATCAAATAAATCGCTAGTATTACAAAAGGGAAATGGAGATACAGAACAAGAAGCCCAGAAACAAACAAATAAACCTGCCAACCAAAGTGAGCTAAATATAGTAGCTCTTTCTTATAGATTGCTAACATGTGCATATTTATGTTTTTTTTCACTTGAGGTTTATCATTGTCAAGTGTCATTTATCATACAGTTTAAAGAGGATAATGATGACCCACTTTGTAGCAATTCAATCACTAGAGGATTAATTGTAGTTTTTTCCTTATTTCCAACATAACCTAGACTTAACCAAGGTAATCATGGATGATTTGACCTCCTAAATGCTGGTGAGGTTCATGTTGCACTCCCTCAGCGGCGCTCTGCCTCAGCCCCAGCGTGAGCGATACAGATCCAAGGCCCCCGATTTCGAGGTTGTTTTGATGATGGTAAGGCATGAAACCCATGAGCGGTCCATCCATACCAGCAGCTGCTGCTGCAGGAATGTGACAGTTGATCCTCGATTGTTTTTCTTGAGCAGTGCTCCAGCTAGCGGGGTGTGATCTTTCGCCAATCCCCGTGCAGCATTCTGCTTGCAGGCCCGGGGTCGGGGGTATTCCTCTCATGCTCAGCCGGTTTGAGTATTGGCTTTCGTTTTGGAAGGCGAAACCGTTCAAGTGTTGGGTCGTTGCGCCTTCTGTTGCACTTGTGACTTGGGGTTTTCCAACATTTGACATCGCTTTAGTCTCGAGCATGTGTATTTCTTCAACCATGGGCTTCCAAACTCGAACTCGGGCATTGATGAACCAGTTTGAAACCTAAATCAACCACATAGCTAGCACTATAATCGCTACAATCCTCAATACATAAAATAATCGACAATGCTGTTTACATCCTACCTGGTTACGAGTTAAGCCAGTCTGGGTGGCCAACATATGCTTGTCAGCATCCGTTGGATACCTGTTAGGTATAAAATCGAGATTTCAAAGAAAACAGAAATGAGATGGACACAAATTAAAAGCTCAAAAGAGAGAACGAATTGAAAGCGATACTCACGGATGAAGAAAATGGTCAAAGAGCCAAGCTCTAAGAACAGCAACAGCACGCTCGGGTAAGCCTCTCTGTGGCCTCCAAACTTGCGGTTGGGGATCCAAAAAACCCATCCCGCTACCTATAGCTCTCTGCTTTTCTAGCGGATGGTCAGCCAATTTCAGACTCGAGCTAACTCTATCCCCTTTACTTCTCCCGGCATGAGATAACAGTTGTTGACCCAAAGTTTTCCGAATGTTCCTCAGCTGATCTGAGATGGCGCTTTTAATGGAATAAAAGCTCCTGGAGATAGTCTTGAGAGCCAGCAATATGTACGGGGTAGCGGCACTCAGTCCAGCCACCGATTCGAAGGACGAAACTACCATGTGCATTTGTTGATGATACTGGCTGTACCTTCTGCAAACCTTTCGAAAACATCGCACAAGAAGCTAGGAATTCAGATTCAATTCTGGCAACGCATATATGAATTACAGTCGAAAATTCTCTTAACTTTTCATCTTAAACCGCTAAGTCAGACCACTAGACAAATTAAACCACAACTGTTTAAGCAAAAATCAAATATTTCTTAAAGATAATAACTAAAAAACATATCATTTCACCTGTGTTAGGTATTATGTCACTTTTACATGAGTAGGTGGAGGAGATGTCGTCACTATGTTGGCCATTAAGGAATGGTTTATTTCACAGGCCATCTCCAAATCACTTAGTGTGCTACTTTAATAAAGCAACTTATTAACAGTGTTTAGCATTTTTCATAATGATCATTTGGATTGATTGATCCTAATCCTTTAATCTTTAATTCGTTCAAACAATACTTTGTGTACGGAGCCCATAGCAATTAAAAGTTAATCAATCAATCATACTCCCGTGGCCGTGGGTTCTAAAGGTGTCTAACTTTGCTACCGCAACAAATACAAATTAAAGTTCGATTCAGTCTTTCTAATCAACCATTCCTAAAGGGGAAAGGCTAAAGTAATATAGCACTCATTCATTGTAGGAGTATGAAAAGCCTACTAAGAATTACGGAGTACTATACACTTAAAAACTTTTTGCATGAATAACTAGATTCTAAAACTGCAATTAATCTTACGGGGTTTTTGTAAAAGTTGATTTGGCTGAAAGGATTTTCTACAAACTTTACGTATTCAGGTATTATAGGGCCTTGGGTTACATTTTCAACAGAAAACATTACCACTTAGTTCAGATATATGGTTACAGAGTGTATTTAAATCCAAAGCCACAGACAGATACACAAGAATAGCATCCCGAGTGCATTGTATTACATCAGACACAAAAATGTAAGACTGTGCACAAAGCTAGGCGGGAAACATCCGATCCAAAGTAGACATCAACTTGATTATAATTAGAAAAAATAGATGAATTAACAACAGCCCAAAATCATGTCTACAAGACTATGCAATTTCAGATTCTAGGATGACAATAACACAAATGGGTATGTAGATTTCAAGATGATATATTCAATCAGACTGTAATTTCCTACCAAGGCACATGCACTTAATTGAACACATAGTTTAGGAATAACTTGGGTTATCTAATTAAACAAGCCAAGCTATGGGAGTCAAATTAAAGAATTACCTCTTCCTGCATGTATAACAACTTGACTCTCGTTTGCTGATATTCGGATCTCAGATAGGATTCATTGGAGCTGCTGCATACACCACTGCCGTTTGATCCAAAGAGCGTAGAAGATAATCCGCTGTTGTCACCCTCGATGCCATCATTTGAAAGACAGATTTCATCCAAAACTCTCTTGGTGAGCGCAGATACTGTTAGGGCACTATGGCCAGAAAAACTGCATACTTCATCCAGCAGCTGCTGTGCGGGTTTTAGGAATCTCGAACTTTTCAGAATGGTTGCATAACCTGTGAAAGGACCGAACGGCACCACATTTAGATGAGATAAAGTCGAATTCCTGACGACTGTGTCTTGACAAGCACCAGCATTCTCCAACATTTTACTCAATTGTTTCGAGGAGGAATACAAGTAGTCAGACCTCAATGGGCGCAACCCGGGCATGGCATCAAAGCCACAATTCAAGTCCCCGGAAACATTATGCTGGCTGCCAACTGCCCCGAAATGGGGTTTGGATGGCGCAGCAAGTGAGGAAAGCGAGAGCGATAGAGCCTGAGTAGTGCTCGAGATGTCGTTTCGTTGCCATCCCTCAACTGCCCTATTTACCATCTCGGAATCACTGTTAACACATAACACACTAGACTGATCAGCATAAGTCGGAAGAAGATGAAGCTCGCTCCGAGAATCCAACCACGAACCACGCCCACTTTCCCTCGGGTTTGCCAACGATGATACAGAGGTCATTTTAGTCTCAATGCAGCTCCCCAAAGTCACTTCTGGACAGTATGCACTAAACTGCAAATCCTCAAACTGTCCTGGAATTACACTCGTCGTCGTGTTACTCAAATTCGATTGTGCTTCATTATACTTGAAATACCCCGGCTTCACACTATGAGTTCCAGAAACAGGAACACAATTATTCGGGATCAAACCCCGGGACGATGAGCTTCCTCCCACAGCCATAGGGCTAACACTCGAATAATTCGCCCCAACATTATTATTCCAATCACAGCAAATCTGCTGCTGTGATCCAACGCTCTTCCAATTCTGTGCCTCACCACTCACATTAACAAAATGGTTGAAGCTATTACTAAACTGGCCATTATCTCCACCACCAGCCTTATCGCCCGGTGGAGAAGATGGGGGTTCTTGATTCACAGTAACAGCATCGTTCTTGTGCGCTACTAAAGACTGTGAATCTGACCCGAAATTTAGCATTTCTGAGGACAATACTGACTGTTCATATGAAATGTTCCCATACCGACAACTAGGAAGCTGAGCAAGATCCATGTTTGGTCCCTGGTTTTGCAAGGACCAGTGCTCACAATTCCCAGAATAGTCTCCCAGGTACTGCGAAGAAGACGACGATGGAATGTTCTGAACCCTCAACTTATCCCGCCTGCTTTGTTGTACAACATGCAAATCAGGCCTGTGGGTTCTCGTCTCCATTAAACGTAGAACCTATATATCAGTCCCCCTTAGTGACCAAAATTCATCCCTACATCAAACCCAAACCGTTAAGAAACCTGAGCAAAAACCATGAGGCACATAAAGATGGGAGCTTTAAGGAAAAACCAAAAAAAAAAAAAAAAAAAAAAAAAAAAAAAAAACAACAACAAATTGGTCATTACTAACAAGAAACCTTAAACATCTTAAATGACAGAATTTTCAAAAAAATTTAACTTTTTTTTTTTTTTGGTTATGGAAACCCAGAGTCTGTGATGTGTAAGCTGGAAATGTGGGGAGCAAATAGAAACTGGAAAGAGACAAGAATTTGGGTAAGAAATTCCATTGTTGTTGAGTTTCTCTCCTTCCAATGGCGTTTTGTTAGTTTCGTGCAACCTTAGCTTAGCTTAGACTTCTAGGCCAAGCAAACTTCATCTCTTTCACAGACTTTACTACAAACAACACACAAATCCAGTAAAAGCATTCACTGCTTGTCAGCTTAGCACAGAAACTTTAGCCAAGAATACAAGCAAAAGGCCTTCACAACAAAACCCAAACCGCAAATGAAGAAAAAACAAAAATTAAGAAAAGAGAGAATCATCACCACTCCCACCTCAACTGATCACACTGCAAAACCCTAATTTCCCTTCTCAGTTTCTGTCATTTCCAGTCCCCAACAAACCCCAAACCTTGAACCCTTCAACGTCTTCTTGAGCTAGAAAAGGCAAGCAAGCAAAAGAAAAAAGAAAAAAAGCAGAATTTTTACACCTTTTTTTCACTGCTCAACACCCAGAAGGTAGAGACCAAAAGAAAAAGGACAGAAAACCCACCCAGCAAAGAGAGTGTGGGAAGTAATAAAATAAGAGGTTTGGAGAACCGAATTTGATTACCTTTAATGTTAAAGTTAGCTTGGTGATAGTTTTAGGGAATAAAAGCTAGGGAGATCTTGGGTTGGAGAATAAGAACCCGGATTAGAGCAAAGCTAGAATTTATGCAGTTTGTCCGGGAAGATTCCGATGAGTTTTCCGGTGACAATGGAGTGGGGCAGGAGATATATGCTCTATGCAAGACTGAGCTAGCTGGAAGAGCATTGAGTGGAATAGTACAATCATTGTCAAAGGCTATAATAAGTGCCCCTTATATTTTGTAGTAAAACCAGCTATAATATTTTTTTTAAAATAAGTTTCTACAAATATTATATCCAAATTTAATGTTGGTAATCATTTTTAATATCCATAATAAAAGAAATAGAGCAACAAATAACTACAAAAACTGCAATGAAGTCACTCACATACAATCTACGGTTAAAATTGACCTCACTCTCGATCTCTTGCGCCCGGGGTTATTAAACACATGGAAACCTACCATCGTTATTTAGTGTAACACTGTAACCTGATCTGACGTAATTTTGATTTTTAATTTTGACAGTCACCCTTTGTTTGTTGTTTAATTTACGTTACATATTTGTTTTTATTTATTGTATAAAGCATGTATATGTGTCTCATGTTATGCAATTTTATATCTTAAGCGTATGAATTTTGTACCTGAAATAAAATAAATATAACATGCACTTTTATGTCTTGTGCTATGCGTTTTTGTGTCTTGTGTTATGCATTTTTATGTATTATGTTATGTAATTTTATACTTTAAAAATATTGATTCTGTACATGAACTAAAGTAAATATAAAACATGTGCATGTGTTTTGTGTTATGTATTTCTGTGCCTCATGTTATGCAATTTTGTACTTAAGTGTATGGATTTTGTATCTGGAATAGATTAATAGTTGTGTGACACACAACATATTGTGTGTTTTTACGAATGTATGTCTTGTATTATGAAATTATGTGTCTATATGACATATATTATCTACATAAATCAAATTTGATAATAAGTAAATATATAATATGTGTATGTGTCGTGTGTTGTGAGTTTTTATGTCTCGTGTTATGAAATTTTGTACTTTAAGAATATTGATTATGTACCTAGAATAAATTAAAAATTGTGTTGAAACGTGATAAACAATAAACTACAGAATCTGTTAAAACTTAAATATCACAATGATGTTTTGATCCAAGTCTACAATACTATGCAGACGCGGTCTACCATATAAATTGCCGCAAACCTAGGGGTATATCCTCAACTCTCAAAGCCATCTTGTTTGTGCGAAAATTGATTTACCTATAAATATGTCTCCCATACAAGTATTCTTCAATGTATCACCCTAAAAATATAAAAATTAGGGTCTCCTTATGGACTTCTTGCATTGTTTTTACCATTAATAGTGATTATTGCTATGACGCTAATCCCTAACTCTCGAGATTGAGATTACCCAATCAGCACATAAATTAGTTTCTATGTGAATGACTCACAATGCTCCAAACTTTTTCAACACATGCATTTCCTGAATAATATGAAAATGAGGGTATCTGGTATTAACCCTTAATTTGCATGAACTTTAACGTTATTAATTAATGATTATTAGACACCAAATTGATTAGTTTAATATTATATTTCGTTATTAAATAATTTTGCGAGTAAATAATAACTCTTAAATAAAAGAGAGAGGGGGTGAGATTGTAAAAATTGAATTGATTTGATATGGAAATTGTAAGCATGCAGGAAAGGGAAGTAGAGGACAGTACAGTGAAAAATATTCTGTTGTTTGATGATGACGATGAAGATGAGGAAACAATGTAACATGGAGATGGGCGTTAGATTTGACGGCGAATATAGAAAGAAGGCTCCATCACTCCCTTTTTAAATTCCGCCTTTTGATGCTCTCACACCCGAAAGTGCCCCAGATACTAACGCCTACTTCCTCTTCCGTTATCCATCATTTGTAGTTTAATGACATCTTTGTAAATCTTTTAAAGAGTTTTTTGTCCTTTTGGTTCCACGACTATACTAATATTATCAGGATTGATTCACGACTTTTAAACATTACAATATTAGTCCATGACTATTGTTTTTGTTGCAGAAATGTTCCTTCCGACCAATTTTTCGTCAATTTTTCATTGGAGAAAAAAATTCTCCATTTCAAGAAAGGATAAAATAGACATTTATATTGCCCTTGCAATCTTGGATAGCTGTTGACCTCTTATTCTGACCAAAGTGTAAAAAAATCAAACACAAAAAATCAAGGTTGAAAAAATCGCTAGGCGCCTAGGGACCGCCTAAAGCGATTAATCAGCGCCTAGGGCGCCTAGAGCTATTAATCAGCGCCTAGAGCGTCTAGGCGGGCGCCTAGGTGGCCGACCGCCTAGCGCCTATGCCCGATTTTTGCAACACTGCAAAAAAAACCCAATAGATTGGTTCGTCTCTGGCAATTGGGCAATTGTGTTTTTTTTTTCGCAGTTTGGCCAGAATAAGAGGTCAACAGCAGTGCATGATTGCAATGACAATGTAA